TGTAGGTGTGTGATGCAGCTATGCATTAAAACAAAAATTCCTTTTTTATAGTTTTTCATGAAATATGTGGGCTAACCACTATGAAAAAGCTGAATTTTCCGTTAAATACTACATCTACTATTTACCATCTTTCGTGTTGTTTAAAAAATACCTAAACGCACTCCAAATTTTTTTACATATATTCTAAACTTATCTTTATGGTACATGTGAATAATTTTAATTTTTCCAATGATTAATTTATTTAACATTCAAATACCACTTAATATGTGGATTAACCCCAATAAAAATCTTATTTTCTGGAGAATCAAAAACATTTAAGGTATCAAACCTATTTAATATTGATACTATGTCGGTGTATGATGCAGCTATGCATTAAAACAAAAATTCCATTTTTTATAATTTTTCATGAAATATGTGGGATAACCCCTATGAAAAAGCTGAATTTTCCGTTAAATACTACATCTACTATTTACCATCTTTCATGTTGTTTAGAAAATAGCAAAACGCACTCCAAATTTTTTTACATATATTCTAAACTTATCTCTATGGTACATGTGAATCATTTTAATTTTTCCAATGATTAATTTATTTAACATTCAAATACCACTTAATATGTGGATAAACCCCAATAAAAAAACTTATTTTCTGGAGAAACGAAAACATTTAAGGTCTCAAACCTATTTAATATTAATACTATGTAGGTGTATGATGCAGCTATGCATTAAAACAAAAATTCAATTTTTTATAATTGTTCATGAAATATGTGGGCTAACCCCTTTAAAAAAACTGAATTTTCCGTTAAATACTATATCTCTTATTTACCATATTTCCTGTTGTTTAAAAAATACTTAAACCCACTCCCAATTTTTATATATGTTTGCTAAACTTATGTTTATGGTACATGCGAATCATTTCAAATTTCCCTTTGATTAATTTATTTAACATTCAAATACTACTTAATATGTGGATTAACCCCAGTAAAAATCATATTTTCTGGACAAACGAAAACATTTAAGGTCACAAACCTATTTAATATTGATACTATGTCGGTGTTTGATGCAGCTATGCATTAAAGCAAAAATTCCATTTTTTATAATTTTTCATGAAATATGTGGGCTAACCCCTATGAAAAAGCTGAATTTTCCGTTAAATACTATATCTACTATTTACCATCTTTCCTGTTGTTTAAAAAATACTTAAACCCACTCCCAAGTTTTATATATGTTTGCTAAACTTATGTTTATGGTACATGCGAATCATTTCAAATTTCCTAATGATTAATTTATTTAACATTTGATATACCACTTAATATGTGGATTAACCCCAATAAAAATCTTATTTTC